AGAATCCAGAGCACTTACTCTGATGATGGCTTCAGTAGCTTGCAGCTGTTGGCAGCACGAATGAACAGTTTTTCCACCGTGGCTTTGGGTCTGGGGGGGTGGGGTGGGGTTCTGCTGGGCTCTGCAGAGTTCGGCGTTGTTTTTCTTGGTGGCGGTAGCCAGTTTTGTATGTCCACGTTGGTTCTGGGAGTTGTTGAAGAAAGTGCTACTGAGTTGCCTGCCTCTAAAAGCACCACAGGAGAAGCGTATTTCAGAGAGGAAGTGTTGGGACGCTGGAGTCCGTTGCACAGACTTTGTGCTTTCTGGCTATCTTTCTGTGCAGTCCTCGTATGTAGAGATGAAGGCTGATTGTATTTTAAGTTCTGATTCGTCTGCCTGGATTGCAGTGACGTTAGCCATAGGAGAGAGTCACCAGGTGTCTTTGGAGCCCAGTTACTGGATTTGTAGGACATTTGTGCGGTGTGACTTAAAGCACAAGTATTCGGAGTCCAAGATGTCGTCCTCAAAGAAAGAAGGGCAAAGTGAAGGACATCAGGGGGAACACCACTGGCTCATTCCTGATTCAGTTAATTGCTCACCTGGAGCCTTCCCGGTTCTGTTAAGTCAGACACCTTGTCAGGTGCAGGGAAATACAACAGGGACAGAATTGATGTGATCCTGTGCCCTTAGGCAGGAATTAGACTCCAAGCCAATGATCTTGTAGATTTGGTGATTGCAAAGTTACATGCAATAAAGGTGAGGTATTGAGTGAGTGGAGATTATAACGAGGATTTTGATTTAGATAGAAGTCTGGGGAGCTGCCTTTTTAAAACTGATAGTGTGAGATTTTCCTAGATTTCAGCCTTGTGTTCTGAGGCTGTAATTAAATGTACATAGCACAATGGCTTGAACACTCTTTTGAGCAACTATAATTCTTTTTCTTTAAATATCTGTTTCCAACGGATTGTCATTTCGGCTCACGTTGCAAGATACCTGAGTGAGATAGGGAATGTTTCCAAGCATTTATTCTGCCTGCCTTTAGGGTGCTTAAAGTTTAAACATTTCTGTCGTACTTCAATTTTTCTCCTGATGAATAGTTCAGAAGCAAGAATCTTCTTTATGAGCTTTGGATCTGAAGGTATGATTTAGACAATTCTCCCAATGCCCATGCTAGGCCCAAAGTGACAGGCTTTTCTAATTTTCAATAAGCAGCATCATAACTTTCAAAAGTATTCACTGTAGTTTATATTCTGGGTAATTTAACATAATTTCAACTCCTAGCTAGATGTGGTGCCACACACCTTTTATCCCAGCACTTGGGAGGCAGAGGCATGTAGATCTGAGTTCAGTGCTAACCTGGTTTTACGTAGTCCACATAGTGAAACCCTATCTCCAAAAACCAACCAACCAAACACATATCAATTCTTAGGAAGCAAGAAAAACCAGGCATGAAGTGGGAAATATAAACTGTTAACTATATAAATATTTCAGTCAAGCATTTAAAACTGTCATGTGTTAGATTAGTTGAGCCTTTAAAGAGGTTATTTTGGTAAGTGGAAATTTCAAGAACGCAGAGGGAGATGTTAGATGTAAAGTTGTCATGGAATGGTAATAAATATATGAACTGCAAGGAGAAGGCACTGGTTCAGACTCAGGCAGCTGGAGGTCAGTGCCTGCGCTCTTCTTCTCTGAGCTGAGGCTTATTGGGAAAAAACTAGGTTTGGGATGTGAGAGAACATGTTTCTAGGTATAGAATTGTTCTGTTGGAGTTGCCTTTTCTTTAGGGTGCTGGGTTAGTATTCAGAAGTAGAATGGATTTAAGCCATTTGGGGACCTTCCGTTGGAGAGGTGATAGTTTCTGAAGCCATGTGCATGTCGGGCTGCCTGTGGAGCTCCCAGAAGAGCAGAAAGAGGCTTGTGTTAGTACTGACCAGAAGAGGCAGTTTGCAAAAGAGCTAGCAAGAGTGGCGGTACTGTGTGTTACTGTGACAAAAAAATATCTGCTCAAAGAAGGCAGGAAAGATTGCTTTTGGCTCATAGTTTCCAAGATGTCATTGTGTTTTAGTGGGAGCAGAGGGCTTGTTGAAAGAGCATTTCATATCAAGGTGGCCAGGGAATAGAGAAAGGGGGATAGAGGAAGGTTCTAGGGGAAGATAAACCCCCAAGGGTGTCCCCCCAATGATGCATGTCCTTCAAAGACACCTCCTAGTCATGTTGTGCTATGAATCCATCAAGGGTTAGTGGGTCAGTTAGGCTAGAGCTCTGTGATTTGATTATCTCTGGAAATGCCTTCTAGACCCTCTCCCTAACCAGAGGTATGCTTTACTAATCCTCTAGGTATTTATTAATCCAGATTAACCATCTCAATGCTGTGAGAAAATTGCCAGAAGTAATTTACCACTGCAGGGAGGCAGTTAGTACTGAGGAGTCTTCTCTCCTGGGAGAAGTTCTTGGTGACCCTTGTCACTGTGGCAGGATGGGTCAAGCCATAGGTGAGGAAACCAGACAAGTAGATAGTAAGTGTTTCCCAGAGTTTTTTTTTTTCCCCCTTCTGTTTTGAGACAGGTGGTTTGTTGGACAGCGTCTCTCTATGTAGTCCTGGCTGTCTTCCAGGCTGGTCTTGCTCCAGTGCACAGAGATCCTCCTGCCTCTGCCGAGCTGGGATTAAAAGCATGCACCACCATGCCCCACTACTAACAGTTTTATTTTTTTATTAAAAAAAAAAAAAAAAAAACCCTCGAGACAGGGTTTTTCTGTGTAGCCCTAGCTCTTCTGGAGCTCACTATGTAGACCCAGGCTAGCCCCAAACTTGGAGATCTCCCTGCCTCTGTCTCCTACGTGTATTAAAGGAATGCACCACCACTGCTTGGCCTGTTAATAGAGGTTTTGATCTTATACTTTAAAGGGAGGCTTGGTGGAGAGGGTGCTGTTGGATTATAGATGGTTACCTTATTTGAGTAAGTTGCCGGGGCATGGGAAGAATTGGTACCTTTGTCCTTATAATCAAGAGTACAAAAACTCTAGTAAATACTTTTCCTTTAAGGCTATCTTTTTGGTAATTTTTATTTTAATCAGTCTAGCTTTACTTTCTTTGTTTCTAGTTTTCAAAATGTTCTTAGTATTTTTCCATTTGTGCATATCTTAATTATTTCACAAAAGACTGTAGGAAAAATTCACAAAGAAACAACCTGTTTCTGCTGGCGGCGGTTGTGCGCACACCTTTAATCCTAGCACTCAGGAGGCAGAGGCAGGGGGATCTCTGAGATTTCCAGGCCAGCCTGGTCTACAGGATGAGTTCCAGGACACACTCCAAAGCTATAGAGAAACCCTATTTGGAAAAGCCAAAAAACAAACAAACAAACAAACAAAGAGAAACCGTTTCCCTTGAATGTTTCTTCTTTGTAAGTACTAGTCATTCTGCCAATTCTTGGCATTAGTACTTGCTTCTCGCAAGAATTTCCCTGTAAAGTGTAGTACTCCTTTCTTCCCCAGTGGTGGTTTGGTGGACAGAAGCATGAGTCTGGAATTGTGGATGCTTGGGTTTGAATCCTCTCACTTACTGGATGACTGTCCTGACAGCTTAGTTAACTTTTCTGGGCCTTGGTTTCTTTACTGAATGGTGATGATAATCGAACCTATTGTTGACTATTGTGAGAATGAGAATTTAAGTGTGTTTGCGGTATTGTTGACAATAAATATGAACCAATTTTATTTGTTTTTAGAGAATTCAGTTTACTGCTCAGCTCCGTCACCTTTTTGGTGTTTTGAGACAGTTTCTCTGTGTTGTCTTGGCTGTCATGGATCTCGCTCTGTAGACCAGGCTGGCCTTGAACAGAGATCCACCTGCCTCTGCCTCCCCAGTGCTGGGATTAAAGGTGTGTGCCACTGCCACCTGGCTTTGCCTTCTCTCTTGAAGTAGCATTAGCTTTTGTATCACAGTCACACCATAAGGAAGTGTCTTATTTTAGTGGAGTTTGAGATATTGTATGTAAGCAGAAAAGCATAAGTTGAGGAATATTGACTAGTTCTATTATTTAAAAAATTAATAACGTGTATGTTGTAGAATATTATTTTAAGATGTGTTACTTTTGTTTTTGTTGCATTTGTTTAACTCTGTGAAGCTGTGTTATTGTGCCTGTCTAAAACACATGATGGTCTAATAAAGAGCTGAATGGCCAATGGTGAGGCAGGAGAGAGAAATAAATAGGCTGGCAGAGAGAGAGAGAGAGAGAGAGAGAGAGAGAGAGAGAGAGAGAGAGAGAATAGAGGGAGAGAGAAAATAGAGGGAGAGAGAAAATAGAGGGAGAGAGAATAAATAGAGGGAGAAATCTGGGAGAAGGAGATGGAGGAGCAAGAGAAGAAGGAGGACGCCAGGGGCCAGCCACCCAGCTACACAGCAAGCCATGGAGTAAGAGTAAGATTTACAGAAGTGAACAGGAAAAGCCCAGAGCAAAAGGTAGATGGGATAATTTAAAGTTAAGAAAAGGTGGCTAGAAACTAAGCCAAACTAAGGCCAGACATTCATAATTAAGAACAAGCCTCCATGTGTGATTTACTTGGGAGGTGGGTGGCAAGCTCCCCCAAAAGACCAGAAAACAAACGGCGTGTGTATACATGATTATGCGTGCCTGTGTGCATGCCACAATACACACGTGAAGGTCAGAGGACAGCTTTGGCGTTGATTCTCTCCTGCCTTTGTGTGGGTTCTAGACAGCGAACTCTGGTTCCCCAGGCTTGGGTGGCAGGCAAGCCTTATTGGCTGAGCTGAATCACTGACTCCATGATTTTGTTCTCTTTTATTTAGCATTAGTTATTTTGGACTTGTGCTTTAATTTTCTTGGGAAAATTAAATTTTTGTGTGTAACACATTGCAAGCAGGCTGACATTGTGACATTCTCATTTCCTCAGGTAACAGGCATCTACTTTGATTAATTATAAGGCTTATGTCATATGACTGATAATAATTCAGGTGGCATTTCTCTCTTTTTATTTTGAAACAGGGTCTCACTGGTAACTCCAAGGTGACCTTGAACTTGCTGTGAGGCTCAGGTTGGCCTTGAATGTGAGATCCTTCTGCCTCAGCTTCTGAATGCCATATCATCAACTTTGAGTTGCTGAGTGGAGAAGGCACCATTGCCATCCCTGTATATAAAACTTGGTATGTAAATTGGAACTAGTCACTTCTTTCTCAGACTTTTGTTTTCTTTCTGAAAAAATGTTTGTTTTGTTTTGTTTTTGGTAGGGTGGGGGCAGGGGTTGTTTTTTTTTTTTTTTTTTTTTTTTTTTTTTTTTT